CTGTGATGTCTGTGACATGGTAGCTTGTGGTTTTAATCTAAATTTCCCATTACTAACAGGTTGAGAATCTTTTCAAATAGTTTCTGTCCATCGAGATTTTTGCTTCTGCTTCTTGTTCATAATTTTTGTCTGTTTTTCTATGAGGGGTTGGTTATTTGTTTCTTACTGGTTTGAAGCAACACTTTCAAAATTCTGGATAGTACATGTTTTTGATTATATGTGCTGGACAACTTTCTTGTAGTCTATGGCCTATCTTTTCACTTGGATCATAGTATCTTTTGTTGGTATTTTAATTTTAATGTGATCCAATTTACTAATCTTTTCCTTTATGTTTTGTGCTCTTTGTAGCCCAAATCCTTCTCTAACTAGAAGGCACAAAGATTTTTTTAAGTTTAAAAGTTTTAGTTTTCATGTTTAAGTCTTAAAATTTGAAAGATCTTTGTATATATGAAGGAGGGATCTCATTTTTGCTGTTGTTTTTCCATTTGGATCATCCATTGTCCCAGTACCACTTACAGGATAAATTCACTCCTCCCCCATTGAACTGAAATGCCACCTGTTTCTCTATTCTGTTCTACTGGTCAATCCTTATGCCAATACTATGCTTTCTTAATTAGTGTAGCTTTAAAGTAAGTCTTCACGTCAACTAGGTCAAGTCTTACCCACCAGATCTGTTTCTGTTCCACAGAGATACTTAAGTTTTGAAGGAGTCTGGGCCATATTTTTTTTTTGTTAAACCTTTTGTTATGGAAAATTTCGAACATATACAAAGTAAACTGAATAGTATAAGGAACTCCCCTGTACCTCAAAGAGCTTCAGTAATTATCAAAACTGTCATGCTCTCATCTTCTAGAATCCTTTTAGTGTCCTAAGAAATCTACCTGCTTCCAGTTGCAAAGATATTTTCTTCTAAAAAGTGTTATTTTAGCTTTTTTATTTAGTCTCTGCTCTATCTCAAATTAATTTTTGTGAATAATGTGAGGTAGGAGGTTTCCGTTCTCCATTAAATTACTTCTGTGCCTTCATTGAAAATCATTTGCCCATAACTGTGTGGGTCTATTTCTGAATTTTCCATTCTTATACCAATAACATCTGGATAACTGTAGCTTTATGTTAAGTCTTCCCATCAGGTAAGGTAAGCTGTCTAATTTTGTTCATCTTTTTCAAAACTATTTTGGCTATTCTAGATTCTATCTCTATATACATTTTAGAATCAGCTTGCCAATTCTACTGGAAAAAAAGTCTGCTGGGATTTTGACTGGGATTGCACTGAATCTATAGAAACATTTGGGGAATACTGGTACCCTAACAATACTGAGTCTCCTGATCTACAAACGTGATTTTCCACATCTTTCATTAAATTCACCCCTATGTACTTTATGTTTTTGATGTTACTCTATTTGGAGACTCCTTAGGCTTTTCTGTGTAGCCAAACATGTAGCTGTGAATTAAGGCAGCATTTCTCAACCTTGATTTCTTGTTCTTGCCTATTGTGTTGGCCAGAATCTCCAGCATGTTGAAGTGGTGCAAGCCGACATCCCTGTATGTTGCTCACCTTGGGGGAGGCACTGAGTGTTTCATAGTTAAGTATGACGAAGTTTTCTCCTATTTCTAGTTTGCTAAGTTTTGTTTAAATCATGAATGACAAACACAGACATGACTGAATTCTGTCTGCATCTATGGAGACAATCACATGACTTTTCCCCTTTAACCTGTTAATGTGGTGAATTACAGTGATTGATTTCCCACGTTAACCCTCCTCTGCCTTCCTGGTGTACTTGGTCACGTGTATCACCCTCCTTACGTATTGCCATATTCGATTTACTAACATTTTGTTAAGGATTTTGGCGTCTGTTCACAACGGATACTGGCCTTTAATGTTCTTTTCTCGTAATGCTCTTGCTTGCTTTTGCTCTCAGGGTTGTGTCGGCCTTACAAACTGAATTGGGAAGTGTTCCCTGTTTCTCTATTTTCTCGAGTATGCGTGGGACTGGTGTTAATTCTTCTAAATGCTCGATAGGATTCACCAGTGCAGCCATTTGGACCTGGAGTTTTCTTTGTGGGAAGGTTTCTGATAACAAATTTAATGTCTTTGACAGATATAAGAACATTCAGATTTTCTCTCTCATTTTGTGTCGGTTTTGCTAAGTTGCGTTTTTCAAGGAATTTTTCCATTTCATCTAAATCGTTGAATTTATTGGCATAAAGTTATTCTAACTTATTCTCTTAACGTCCTTTTGATTTCAGTAGGATCTGTAGTGACAGTCCTTTCATTCCTGATATTGGTAATTTGTGTTCACTTCTGCTCGATCAATCTTACTAGGGGTTTATCAATTTTTTTCGAAAAGCAACTTTTGGCTTTATTAATTTTCTCTATTTCATTTTCTATTTCATGATTTCTGCTCTTATCATTATTACTTCCTGTCCTCTACTTTCTTTGAGTTTAATTTACTTATCTTTTTCTAATTTTTAAGGTGGAAACGTAAATCAGTGACAGTGAGTCTTTCTTCCTTTCTTATATGAGCATTACAACGCAATTTACATAGTTTTCAAGCAATGTGTGACTTGGGGTGGAGGCTCAAAATAGTCCAAGAGGGAGATGCCAAGAGCTACTTCTTAACTAGTCATGTATGAATTTTCCTAGAATTTGTAAAGATAGAAAAAGGAGTTCACTGACATTCTTCACAGAGATAAACTCACGAAGTGAAGAGAGCTGTGGAAGAAAGACGTTTATAGCTGCTCATGAAATCAGAGCCAAGGAATAGCTTGGCAAGAGATTCTCTTTTTATACAACTTGTCAAGCCCTGCAGATCACACACTATTATCTTACCAGGAATTGTAAAAATTTCCCAGCTTTGGGTCCGAAAGCTATTTTTACAAAATAACTTGTCACAGTACCTTTTCTAAACTTGGGCTTTATTTTTGAGGGTTCTTCCTGTGACTTGCCTCCATCTTGAATGGGGAGTACCATGTAGCACATCAAATCAAGGACTTTCTCACATGTCATCTATAGAAGATAAGAACAAAAGGGACTAATATAAAGTTTTCTGACTGAACCAAATCCACATAACACTGATGCATGCGCAGCCTACAACTGGGCGACCTGTGCTCCGTACACCTGTACTCAGAGATGGGCAGCACTTACGTGGTCAGCACTGGCTGCTCAACAGCGCAGGAAGAAAATATAACCAAGGGTAAATCTAAGTACTAGGACTTTGAGGGAACAATGACTCATTTCTTGCTAAAAAATAAGAAAACAAAACTTAAAAATTAATCAAGTATTAAGTAAACTACCAAGGTGTGTCACAGCCCAGCCGTATCCAAAAGAAGCATGTCCTTGTCTCAAAGACATTTACTAACTCACTGAAGAGAAACATTAACAGAAGGGGACATACAGTAGAGGACCGAGCGGTGTAACAGAGCATAATCCACAATGAAGCAGAAATACACGCAGGCTAAACCAGCAGGAACGGTTTCAGGCAGGAAGGTTATGCTGATGTAAGCCTTAAAGAGGAGAAGGATTTGGAGTATGCAAAAGAGAAAAAAGGCTTTCAAAGGAGGAGAGAGAGATGTGAGGGAGGGTTGCTTATTGGTTTAGGTGATTTACTTGGTGAGGGAGTAGGTTTAGGAAATACAGACACAGACTGGACAGATGCAGTGCTGGGGACAAAGGGAGGCCTTGAGTGCCACACTCAGCAGGCTGGCCTCGATCCACACAGAGGAAGGCATCACTGCTCACCTTCTGTCCACCTATTCAAATTCTAGTAGTAATAATCTGATTCCATTTAGGAGCATCTTCTACGTGTCAGGCTCAACCCTCTTATTAAGAGGAAGCGGAGTCTTAAACCCATGCTTCCCAACTTTTTTCATGTCTTGGCACATCCAGAAAAGAATATTTGTCAGGTTGCTCAGAGCTGGCAGCAAACAACCTGGGGGCTCTGGCCGCCCAAAGTCAAAGCTAACTGCCCCAAGGGCTGAGGGGGTCGGTATCTGGGCACATATAGAACCCCTCCATGGCCACAGGCTATAAAGCTCTAGCTTTGAGATCGGCAGCTTGGTAGTTAAGAACTTGAAGTCTGGAGTGAGCCGGTCTTGAGAGGTAACCTGCTTCGGGTCACAGAGCTGGTTAAGTGGCGGGGCCACTTGTTGCAGGATGGCTAAATGCCACCATGTTGCAACGCCCACCTCCAGCCGATCTTTTCTTTAAGTCTTTCCTTGACTACAGGGACCCTGGTGAAAATGCCCTTCCCTGAATGCCTACTGTGCACATGTCTGAAGCACACTACTTTATACTGGATTTTTAACTCTTATATAGATCCTTGCACTTCTCTCTCTAACTCAGATTATATGCCCTTGAATGTAGGGGTCCCACCTTGCACACACTCTGCTTGTCTTCCTCCCCCACACATAGTTCACCTCTGGGCACAGAGAAAGTCCATACTTCAGTCAAGTGCAACGATGACAGCACTATTTTAGACAGCAGTGACCATCATTCATGGGGTGGGGAAAAGATTACACGCAGAAACCTCAGTTACAAGCCATGGGTTAGGGTGGTGGCCATGGAAATACAAGGCAGTACACCAAAGATACTAGAATTGCACTGGAAGAACCAAAAGGATTAGCTAGAGTAAGAGTCGACCAGGATTCGACAGGGCCCAAGAACTAAGGAAATGCACATCCAGACATGTTGAGTCTGAGCTGAAGACACACAGTTAGAGACCCAGCAATCAGGTTAAGTTAGAAACCACAGACGTAGGCCTAACAGTGATCAGCTAAGAGGAGGTAACTGAAGCCCTCAAAAAGGAGTTGGCGCTTCATCAAATCTACCAGCTTATTTTATAGTCCCCATTACAATGCAGAACAGTAGCGCACGGTACAGCTGTCTAATTCTACACGATATATGTGTATCTGTGGGTAAATATGGGTTTTCTTTTAAGTTCTCAGAAGGAATTAATCGAAACTTAGAATTACGTAACTGATAGTTACATAAATGATGGTAGAAAAGCATTTTCAATTTTTAATGCACATACTTTACAGACTAATTGTTTCTTTCTAAAAATCATCATGGCAAATTATATACCATATTATAAAGTTCAAGTTAAAAAACTTACTTTAGGGTTTTTAATCACAAAGTAATCAACTTACACATAGAGAGATGAGAAGTAATCAGAGTTTGCGTGTTAAAGTTGTGGCCTTGGGGGCCGGGCCCGTGGCGCAGTGGTTAAGTGCGTGCGCTCCGCTGCTGGAGGCCCGGGTTTGGATCCCGGGCGCACACTGATGCACCACTCGTCAAGCCATGCTAGGGCAGCGTCCCATATAAAGTGGAGGAAGATGGGCACAGATGTTAGCCCAGGGCCAGTCTTCCTCAGCAAAAAGAGGAGGATTGGCATAGATGTTAGCTCAGGGCTGATCTTCCTCACAAAAAAAAAAAAAAGTTGTGGCCTTGATTTATCTGGTACCTACATATATAAAGAATGTGCTTATCATTTCAATTGAATTCAAGCATCTACTGAGTATCAATGCTGGGCAAACCCCTGTGGCAGGTGCTGTGAGAGATTCACAGTGAACGAACACAGTCCCCAACCCGCAGGAGGAGGGCTCATAATCAGCAAGGAAATAGACCCGTTTATACATCTGCTCCTGCAACACTCCTAGGAGGGGTCATCACCATGTAAAAAGAGAATCTGAGGTTCAGATAAGCCAATGTCAATCCTCCATTTCTCACTTGGTAAAGGCCTCTTCTGTCCAAGTACAACAGGACTGATCCCACCCTAAAGGGATTCCAGGCAAGAAAGTAAAAAAAAAAAAAATCATCCTCCAACAAAGTGGAATAATGAACAGGAAATGTGAAAAGTAATAAAGTCTAATTTCAGGTAAGCTATAGCAAAGAGAAAATTAAGTAAAACAAAATCAAGATTTTTCACCAGCAGGAAGATCAAATTTCAAATAAACATGCACTGAATTAAAAAGCCACTCCAGGAAGAAGAGAAAGCCCCAGGGTAGCTGAGGGCACCTGAGGGCCCCGTGCACGGTGCATACTCACTCTGTACTCCCCCAGGGCAAAGTGGCAAGTCGCCAGCTGGATGAGTGCCCTCTGATGCTCCAAGGTCCCCTGTCCCGTGATCTGCGGCTGAGGAAGCGATCCTTGCAGAGCTGCTAAGTGATGCAGGCTGGCTATTGCCTTTTTATATTGACCCTTATAAAGACAAAACAGTAAGGAGGGAAAAAACACAGCCATTAAAAAAAAAATCTTGAGTTAATTAATCAACTAGCAAGCAAACAGAAATAAGATAGCTCTGCTCGATCATCTGAGGAGGAAAGCGGAGACTTAGCAACAGTCTTTCTAGTCTAATTCTTAAGACGAAATAAAATTACACAAGCCCTGTGATAAGTACTTTTGGATACACCATTTCTTTATAAATATTTTACTCCTAACACCACTTCTCACTCCTGAAGGATGGAAGCAGCAACCTGTCCATTTCAACAACAAAGGCTGGAAGCTCTTCATCTCGTTAGTGAATGATCTACTCTCTCCATTCTAGACCTGAGCGGCTCAAGAACAGTTGAGCAAGGCAGAAAGACTCCACCAGAGTAGAGAGGAGAGGTGAGAAACACTCACCTTTTACTGAAAAGTAAAAATCTTACTTTTACAGAGGAGTGTGACTAGACACACCAAAAGTAACACAGAAGATGTGGCCTTGTCATTTTGGAGTTATTTTGAGATGAAAGTGGACGATAAACCTTCTGCCACTGAAGGCAGAACATCCGTCTTCAGAGCACAGACTGGTCCACAGAGGGAACATACACAACTTGCATGCTGAAGACAGCTCACAAGAACATCATCCTGGACAGACACAGGAACTTACAACATGCATTACTCTACCTGATAGATGATCATATCGGTGAGGAAGACTCTTAACCAAAGCCAAGTATCCGTCTTCCATGCCAAACAAATTCTTGTAAATTCTAAGCAAGAATTCAAAAGAAAATTTACCAAAAATATGTAACATGGAAGCAGAAAACAAGACTTAACAAATCCAGCAAGAGAGAATAGCAATCAGAGAGGCAAATTACCAAAAAATGGATGGTAACTTTAGACCCTGATTTCTAAAACAATGGTCCAGAATCTCACTCAGACAGTGAAGTTACAACACGCTACTTACCAGTAATTCACAAGCACTATTTTTATTAGGCACCAACATTTACTAAACACATGCCATGTGCCAAGAGGTGTTCAAAATGCTTCACCTATTACCTCATTTATCTTTTAAAGTACTCTGCTTTCCGCAGAAAAGGGTCTTGTCTTATTCTCACCTACTTAAAATAATAAATATATGATATTAAAAGTTTTAATCAATTTTTAAAAAGTCAATTTATAACTAAAGGAAAATACCCTCCAGAACTCACACACACGTTCACAATTTTGGATGTGACAAGGAGAAACCGAATGACGCTGTGTTTACTTAGAAAATACGACATGACACATCTGAGCAAGGGCTCTGTGTAGGCAGAGACAGAAGCAGACAGGGGACGAGTGTCCACTGGCTAAAAGGAAGGTAACAGGCCTGATTCCAAAGTAGAGTAAAGATGCACTGGTTAGCAAAGTGCTACTGATCTCTAAGTAACGCTGAAATACTCAACAGTATAAATATTGCACAGAAAATAACTCCCTCCAGCTTTATGTCTATACTCAGAAGAAAACAGGCTCTCTGTAGCATTTGGATTTTGAGTTTTTCAGGCAATGGAGTTAATGCAGATAAAAACAGCGTTATCTTTTGTATTCTCAGTTACGTGTGGCTTAAGGAAGACACAGAGCAGTAGGACAGACTAAAAGCACAACACAAACAAATTTGTATTGCGCCAGCAATACAAATATTTAAAAGAAAGACCCCAAACTTTCCCTCACACTGCACCCCAACCCTGATTAGAATACACACCCAGAGCAGGAACTAAGAGGTAAATGGCTATTTGAATATTAATAACTGATTAGCGATCCTGCACAAAAAAGAGTCCTATACAACGTGTGAACTACTGTCATCAATCTAATTAGCCATAAGTGACCTGACGTTTCAAGTAGAATGATTTTTTTAGCATAATTATTTTATATAAAAAATTAAACAGCACTAATATGACAAGCATATTCTTACCCTTGTCAAGGAATTCTAGGGAATAGAGCAACTCCCAGCTCTCTCTGGCCAATTTAAAGCTTTCTAACACTTCAATGGAGTTAGCAAGTTCTGCTTTATTGACGACAATGTGACGATTCCTTCCTTTTGCCGAACAGTCTTCGTCATCTGAACTCTGCATAGAAAATGTGAAGAACATGACGAAAGTTATAAGTATAGTCATATACTGGAACATTATTAAATTTATTGCTGCCAACTCTGGTTATTATATAGATTTTATATCAAAGGATACTATCATGAGTATAATAAATTTTTTTTAATTTAACAATTTAGCTTTAAAAATTAACATAAATTTTTCATCTTTTCACTCTCACACCTTCAATTTTTACTTTTAAAATTAAGTTTATGTGGCAAACAAAATACAGCAATACATTAAAAAGATCATACACCATGACCCAGTAGGATTTATACCAGGGATACAGGGATGGTTCAACATCCGCAAATCAATCAATATGATAGACTACATTAACAAAACGAGGAATAAAAACCACATGATCATCTCAATAGATGCAGAGAAGGCATTTGACAAGATACAAAGCCCACTTATGATAAAAACTCTCAACAAAATGGGTATAGAAGGAAAGCACCTTAACATAATAAAGGCCATATATGACAAACCCACAGCCAACATCATACTCAATGGGGAAAAACTGAAAGCCATCCCTCTGAAAACAGGAACAAGACAAGGGTGCACACTCTCGCCATCCTTATTCAACACAGTACTGGAGGTTCTGGCCAGAGCAGGTAGGCAAGAAAAAGGAATAAAAGGAATACAAATAGGCAACGAAGAAGTGAAACTCTCGCTGTTTGCACATGACATGATCTTATATATAGAAAACCCTAAAGAATCCATTGGAAAACTATTAGAAATAATGAACAACTACAGCAAAGTTGCAGGTTACAAAATTAACTTACAGAAATCAGTTGCATTTCTATATACCAACAACAAACTAACAGAAAGAGAACTCAAGAAGACAATCTCATTTACAATTGCAATAAAAAGAACAACATATCTAGGGGCCGGCCCATGGCTTAGCGGTTAAGTGTGCGCTCTCTGCTGCTGGAGGCCCAGGTTTGGATCCCGGGTGCACACCGACGCACTGCTTATCCGGCCACGCTGAGGCCGCATCCCACATACAGCAACTAGAAGGATGTGCAGCTATGACATACAATTATCTACTGGGGCTTTGGGGGGAAAAAATAAATAAATAAAAATTATAAAAAAAAAAAACAACAACATATCTAGGAATAAATTTAACCAAGGAACTGAAAGATCTATACAATGAAAACTATAAGACATTATTGAGTGAAATCAATGATGACATAAAGAAATGGAAAAATAGTCCATGCACTTGGATTGGAAGAATAAATATAGTTAAAATGTCCATACTACCTAAAGCAATCTACAGATTCAATGCAATCCCAATCAGAATCCCAAGGACATTCTTCACAGAAACAGAACAAAGAATACTAAAATTCATATGGGGCAACAAAAGACCCTGAATAGCTAAAGCAATCCTGAGAAAAAAGAACAAAGCTGGAGGCATCACAATCCCTGACTTCAAAATATACTAAAAAGCTATAATAATCAAAACAGCATGGTACTGATACAAAAACAGACACAGAGATCAATGGAACAGAATTGAAAGCCCAGAAATAAGACCTTACATCTACGGGCAGCTAATCTTTGACAAAGGAGCTAAGAACATACAATGGAGAAAGGAAAGTCTCTTCAATAAATGGTGTTGGGAAAACCGGACAGCCATTTGCAAAAGAATGAAAGTAGACCCTTACCTTACACCATACACAAAAATTAACTCAAAA